TATGCATTACATGTAATTTTTTTTTTTAGAGAGAGAAACATTGATGTGAGAGTGAAACATTGATTGGTTGCCTCCTGCATGTACCCCAAAGAGGGGGTTGAACCTGTGCCCTGACTGGGAATCCAGCCAGCAACCTTTCCATGCACAGGATGACACCCAACCAACTGAGCCACACTGGCCAGGGCTCTCTCATGTAATCTTTACAAATCTCTATAAGATAGGTGCAATTACTATCACCATCTCCATTTTTCAGATAAGGAAACAGGCAGAAGGACTTGCCCAAGGGCACAGAACTAGTCAGTAGTGAAGCAGGGATTTAAGCAATCTAGAGCTCTTAGCTCTTAACTGCAATGCTATTCTGCTGCTTGTAATATAGACTGGAAATGTCTTTACATATATACCTTGTATAAATTATTCTGATTCTAGGAATTTAACCTGCAGATGCCTCACAGCTTGATATACAAAACAAATTATTTCAGCAAAGTTTATAATTTCCAGTAATATATGCTGCATCAATAGGAGATTGGAATTCAGTCAGAAGAGGAAGCCCTTTATGTGCTTATTAGGGAAAGATTTCCAAAATATTTTAGGTTAAAAAAAAAGCAAAAGCAAGAATGGTGTGTAGCGAATGCCACCGTTTGTGTAAAAAAAAGGGTGGGGAGAATATATTTTTTGCTTGTATATGCATAAAATATCTCTGGAAGGATCCGCAAGAAGCTTATGAATTTGTCTATGGAAAAAAGAAGTAGGAAGCTGGGTGGCGGTGGGAAGAAAGACTGTATAGGTGTTGATGTAAACAAGACCAATTTTGTATCTGGAGTGCTCTGGCCTTTGACCAACACTAATGTCTTCAGCCCAGCATACCACAACCTTCCAGTTGATGATTGTCTGTGCTCCATAAGTATTTTGGTTAGTAATAGCTGAAATGGTATAACAACTGAGATAAATATCAAACTGGTGAAGTACTGATTATAAACATTAGAAATCATTTTTCACAAGACCACCGGAAGGTACAGCCTCTGGCCTGCACTGCATTCCTGTCTTATCAATCATCAGTACTTGAGTTATACTGTACGAAGAAAAAAAGCACTGTAACTGGGATCCAGGATCTGTTAGTGGAGAAACTTGGCGCAGAGCTGCTGGGTTGTCTTTCTGTTCCATTCCTGTAAGTAAATTACCCTGTAATAAATTTTTTATATTCTATGGAGTAGCCTACTTTGTCAGTCTTAAGATACCTTCTCATTATGGTGGCCATTACACCTTTGCCCCCCCCCCCAGAAGAGAGGAACAGAGATAGAAAGTGTTTTAACTGACTGTATTAAATCATATGTATATATTTATATATGTTTTTATTGATTTCAGAGAGAGGGAGGGAGAGGGAGAGAAAGAGAGAAACATCAATGAGGAGAGTCATTGATTGGCTGCTGCCTGCATGCCCCCTACTGGGGATCGAGCCTGAAACCCAGGCATGTGCCCCGACCCCTAATTTAACCGTGACCTCCTGGTTCATGGGTCGATGCTCAACCATCCTTAACCCTGCTCCCTCATATCTCCCACAGATTTTGTTTCTTTCAATATTTTCCTCCTGCATCTTCAACGCATCCTCTCTGTTGGCTTCCTCTCCTCAGCTGACATACACTCTCAAGACTTTCAGCCCACACGAAATTTCAAAATCCTGCACTGATGCTGCATTCCTCTCTAAATTTCCTTTAATTTTTCTCCTCTTTTCAATTAGACTTCTAGGTAAAATAATGTAACGGGCACTTGTGTCTCTATCTACTTCTTTATTCATTGTAACTCATTGCAGTTTGGTCTCTGACCCCACCACACTATTGGTACTTCTGTTAATAACATCAGCAGTGACCTTCATTTTGCCAAATCCATTGGATGTCTTTCAGGCCTTCTCTTATAAAAACTCCCCATTAGCATTACTGATGACTTGCATCTTCTTTAAACCCTCTACTATGAAACATCATGTAGCTCTGGATTCTTCGTAATTCCTTTTGTTTCTCTTGTTTCCTCTGTCGTCTTGTGTATGTCAAGTCTGACCTTGGCCCTTCTCCATCCACATTCTCCTTGGCTGATCTCACCCCTCTCAAGGTTTTAACTATCACCAGTATCCAACCTTTAACGAATAGGAACTGCTCTTGACCCTCAGAGTTTAGAAACGGATGACTCTTACACTAGAGACATCAATCATTGACCCCTGCACTCATCTGACTTCATCCACAGTTTGTGCATTTGTGTCTTGTGACCCTAGTTGGACTAGAATAGGGCCAAAGGGTTGTGAATAAATTCTCAGACTGAGTTAAACTAATCAAGTTCTCTGTTTTGACTTGACCCTGCACCTTCATGAACAATGAGGGCAGTGGTCTCAGAGACTGATTTAAGAGTCTTAGTCACAACACAGTCTCGCATTTCACTTTCATCCTTGGATATCAGTGATAACACCTATCATGTGATTACTAAAAAATCTTAGTTTATGAAAAAATTTGTATTTTAATTAACTTGTAAAAAAAAAAGCTACCATTTCAAAATAAAAACAAAAAAATTCCCCAATATATATTACCGCATTTTATCACCTTTGTTGGTTTGATCCTTTGAGTCTTACTTTTGACTTATTGGGTGAGAACAGAGCTGCATTTAGTCTAGAGCTAATTTTGCCTCACTACTAAGGCAAAAACTCTCTAAGTACTTGAGGCAATGCCCTGTGAATTATAAAGTTTTCACTCTGGCTGTTGGGAACAGGAACTATTGTCAGCTCTGTGGGAAAGTTCCTCTAATCTGAACTTTCAGGTGGTTCTTTCACTGGCCTCCAGTAGGCTTCTCAGCCGAATGCCCTAATTGAGAGTTAAATATTCAAAGGCACCACTCTGTTGATGCCTAGAGTTTCTCTCTGTAAAGCTCCCTTCGCTGTCCTGTGACCTCTAGTCTCCTTGTCCTCCCCAGATTCCCAGCCTTATCTCTTCCTCTCCCAGGTTTGTCTCTCCCACTAGGCTCTGCTTAAATTTTCCTTCCCTATGAAACAATTTTTTCGGGCAGTAAGCTGGAGAAATTACTGGATTCATCTCATTTGTTTCCCATCCCTCAGAGATCACTAGCCTTTATTGTCTGATGCCCAATGTTTTAAAAAACTGTTATTTCATATATTTTATCTTTTTATATAGTTGTTTCAGGTGTGAGTATAAATCCAATTCTTTTACTCCATCTTAGCCAAAAGACGGAGTCTTACCAGAACATGAAGATATTTCACATTTATCCAAGTAAGTTTCATACTTGTTTTCTCTGAGCTTCCAGACAAAATTGGGCAGCATTGCAGTTGCCAGACTCGGATGATTAGTGTTCATTAGCTACCAATCAACTGGATAATTGATTACAGACTACTTCAATCTACAACAGCAGACTACTCACTCTTCTCTAGCTCACGCGGAACATTCATCAAGGTAGACTATATTCTGGGCCATGCAACACACCTCAACAAAAATCATACAAAGTATGCTCTCAGATTACATAATAGAAACCAGTAACAGAAAGATAGCTGGAAAAGTCCCCAAATATTTGGAAATTAAATGGCACACTTCTAAATAACACATTGTGTTATTTAGAAATCTTAAAAGAAATTTTAAAGAAGAAATCTTAAGAGAAATTTTAAAAATATTTTAAACAAAATGAAAATACAACTTATCAAAATTTTTGGGATGCAGTGAAAGCAGTACTTAGAGGGAAATTTATAGTATTTATACATATGTTAGAAAAGAAAAAAAACCCATCTATAATCAATATTCTAAGTTTCCACCTTAGGAAACTAGAGGAAGAAAAGCAGTATAAACCTATAATCAATAAAATTTAAAACAGGAGAGCAATAGAGAAAATTAACAAAACCAAAAGCCGGTTCTTTAAAAGATCAATAAGCCCTGGCCGGTGTGGCTCCGTTGGTTGAGTGTCTTGACCTATGCACAGAGAGGTGGTAGCCCATTGGATTTCTGGTTAGGGCACCTGCCAGGGTTGTGGACTGGATCCCCAGTAGAGGATGTGCAGGAGGCAGCCTATCCATGTTTTGCTCTCACATCGATGTTTCTCTCTCTAAAAAAATAAATCAATAAAAACATATTTTAAAAAATAAATAAAAGAGCATAGTCATTGCACATAAATTATACCTTAATAAAGTTGATTAAGAACAAGAGTTAAATGAAAGAATCAACAGAGACATAAATCTAGGCATTTGGAAGAAAAAGTAATGTTGATACAGTAAAGGTGGTTTTAAACAAAATTTGTAATGTGCCATTCTCACCTCTCTTGTGCATTAGTTAAAAAAGAAACAGCTATATGAAACATTTCAGATACTATTTTCCAAGGTGATAGTCGGTGTGCTTTTAATAGAACAAAGAGATCACTTATTAAAAATTACTATTGGTGTTGAGAATTTTTTACATTTATTGGCTGTTTACTTTTTAAAAATTGCCTGTTTGTGAATTTTGCCAGTTTTCCTATTGGGTTTTTCCTCTTCGTTGTTTACAGGCCTGAGCCGGGGAGCTCCTGGGCGACGAGGCCTGTACCCCACCCAGGTCCTTCTCTGTCCCGAGCCCAGCACAGTGTTTCATGTTCCGTTCATGAAGTGTTTGTTAAAATGGAACTGAATGATCTTAATTTACTTTCATCACCCTTTGGAGACTTTAACACCATTACTTTTATTTTGCTGATGAACACAAGATGCAGAGGTTGAGTAATTTGAAGTCACAAAAACCGCGCAATTGGGATTGTAACCAGGCCTTCTGATTTTAAACCAAGGATTTGCTTAAATTGTCGTCCATTCCCTCCAGCGATGTTTGCCCAGACCCTGTCTTCTTTAGGGCACCAACTGAGTATTTTAAACGAATTTAAAATGAACCGAGACTAGGGCACAACGCGCCCCTTCCTTTCTTTCCCACGGTTGGAGAAAAGACGCCTCCGCTTCAACTTCCGCTTTGCGGCTCTTTTGGCCCCGGCGACTCGCCATTGCCCGCGGAGGCTTTCGCCAGCTGAGGCGATGGCGACCGGGCCTCCCGACTCGCAGGCGCGATTCGGCCAGTCCGTGAAGGGGCTGCTCACGGAGAAGGTGACCACCTGCGGGACTGACGTGATCGCCCTCACCAAGCAGGTGCTGAAGGGCTCCCGGAGCTCCGAGGTGAGCTGCGCGCCCACGCCCGGGCCTCCCACCCCGGCGGCTCCGGGCTTTCAGGGCCGTGGGAAGGGGTCGCGGTGCATCTTGGGGATTGTAGGCCGTGCATCGTGGCGGAGAGGAGGGCAGGTTCTGGGAAGTGTAGTCTTTGGGAGGCCTGGCCGGAGAGAGGGGGAACAACGAGGTGATGGGACTCTGTGCCTTAGAAAGCGGCGATTGTCTCGGGACGACGGATGACTTAGTGGCCCTCACCAGTTCCTCATTTGTTCCTCCGGGTTGTCTCAGTCCCTTCCGGCCCCCAAATTCCGCATGGTTTTGCCCTCGACCTCCCAGATTTCTTCCATCTGTCTGTTGTGCATCATCTGTCTGTGGATTTATTATTTTCTGATTTGTCTTTCTGGGAACGTTCTTGATTTTCAGTTTGTCTTATTTATTTTTTAACGTTTCCTTTTTTAAAAGATTTTGTCATATAAATATTTCCTTTATTTTTATGGTTAAAAAAATTTTAAATACGTTTATAATTTTCTTTATTTTTTATATTTCTTTAAAAGTAGCGTACTTTATTAAAAGAAACACTGGAAATATGGATTACTTTTCAGAAATGATCTTCATCTTCACTGACAGGTATCATGGAGAAACCAGATTTCTACACCAACTAATGGAAAATTAATCACTGATGAGTCTAGTTCCAAAGCCCGAAAAAAGGACATGCATACACGTTAGGACTGATTCTACCCATTCAGTTAAAACATTCCCATTGCTGAACTATATTTGCTACTGAAATTCTAAAAATGCTCGTTTTCTTGGGTATTCTATTTTGTCAAAAGATTTAGTATTTGTTACATTATTTACATTAATTGATATTTACAAAGAGTGGAGAGACAACACTCTATAGTATGTAAGATCTTTATCTCTCTCTTTTTAAAAAAAAATATATCTTTATTGATTTCAGAGAGAGGAAGGGAGAGGGGGAGAGAGAGAGAAACATCAATGCTGAGAGTCATTGATCGGCTGCCTCCTGCACGCCCCATACTGGGGATCGAGCCTGCAACCTGGGCATGTGCCTTGACCGGGAATCGAATCTCGAGCTCCTGGATTCTAGGTCCATGCTCAACTGCTGAGCTGCGCCGACCAGGTTGTTTCATACATTTTGAATTAAAATGACCAAACAAATAAAACCTGTATAGGATCAATCCCCCCCATTTCAAATTTAGAGTTATATTTATATGTCAAGATGTCCAAGTGCACAAGCTTCTGTAGAACCTCCAATTTCATTATGAAAGCTTCCTCAACACAATAGAGGATTTAATTTTACTCTGACTTGTTTAAACAACACTAGGAGGTTGGCACATTTTAAAGTTAACATGTGTTATTGTTATAAAAACAGACTGCGATTGATGGTGACCCCTCGCATTTGTTTAGTGACTGACTGAGATCATCCAGGCTCCTGACTTTATACTCATTACTGTTGGATAATTCGAACTTGACTGTTCAACATGCTTCTACTAGGACCTAGGGGATGATCAGGGAATGCAAAAATAGCAAATTCTAAGCAGATGATTTTGCTACCTTTACCAATTCTGGTACAAGGGTTAATTGAAGTTAAAGAGGAAAGCTATTAGCAAAAATAAAACTAGGGAGTGAGTTATCTGTGGATTTCACTTACATTAGAACTGACCCCTCCTTATTGGAGGCTAACGAGACTGGACCATGACTTGTAGGTCTTTGCTTTTCATCACTGAGTATTCCGTGCCAATCTCTGGCTTGCAGACTTTGTTGAGCAATCAGCTGACGAGATCAGTATTTTCATTTCTTTTAAAAAAGTGTTTTTGAGAGTACATTTATTAAAACTGGGGACAGTGAAACAAGGAAGGGCTTAGGATAGAAAAAGCAATAGAAGAGCCTAGGCAGGGTTGCTTTGGCTCTCTAGAAATGTTATAGGAAAGAGATGAGCCTAGGCGGGGCTCACTGAGAAATTAGAGAAAAGGGGGCCTTGGAGACAGGTTCAGGGGGTTAGCCTGGGATGAGCTGCCGTTGCCCATTGCTCCCTGGTTGCAAGCCTGTGGGGTCCTTTAGAGTTAAACTCTAAGGAGATGCACACCTGAGAGGGAAGAAGAGGGGGAAGGGAAAGGCACTGGCCTGCTCCCTGGAGGGGGAGCATGCACTGAACTTTATCTTTTTACTGAATCTCTTACACAGTACTTATTATGTACTATATTTCCTTTTTCTGTAGTTGCTCACATATTTTTGCCATTTCCTTTAGTAGGCTGTGAGGTTATTGGAGTATCTTACTGATTTTCAATCTTTCTCAACCCAAAGAGCATTGCTTCTCCCTTCAGCAGACTCCACATAGGTATTTTGTTTGAACTAACAATTCCCATATTTAAAACATTCATTCCACAGCATTCATTTAATAAATATTTAGAGTATTGAGTATTTGCTGTGGGTCAGGAGACAACACAAAGTCCCTGCACTCAGGAAACTTACATTTTAGTGAACAAACAAATGAGACACACACAAAAATCAGATGGTTATAAATGCTATGAATAAAAATAAAGCTGGGAATAGAGAGTGACGAAAGGGTTTACGGAAATAGGTTGGTCAGGGAAGGGCTCTCTGAGAATGTGATATTTGAGCAGACACTAGAATGAAGCGAGGGAGAAAGCCATGTGGGCATGTGGAAGCAGAGAGCTCCAAGGAAGGAGCAAATGCCAGGCCTTACGATGGAGATGTGCACAAGGCATGCACAGAGGCCGGTATGGCTGGTGCAAAGTGAGGGAAACTTGTGCCCACAGCACGGTGGATGCTGTGACTGATGTGCTCCTCTGCACACCTGCCCTTCCGCTCCTCCAGGTGGATTGTGTGCTTGGTGGGGCACCTTTTTGTTTTTTCCTAAACCTGTGTGAAGCACTTAGGCTTGTTATTGAAACTACATTATTTAATAAGGAAAACAATGAAATGTGAGTGCAAAAAAAAGAGGGTTGCTATTACTATGAAAACTAAGTTGAAATCAGAAATACTTGCTGAAGGTGAGTGCTAAGACAAACTGCTTTTGGGTTAATTATGAACAAGACAATGGTAAAAGCCCGGGGCAAAAATCCTAGAAATCTGAAGACTCAGTACTCAAAAGAAACCGAAGCCAGAAATCTTAGATCATATTTTATGTGTGTGGTTGGTTTATGTAAGAAAATGATGCGCAATCCCAGAAAATACATCTATCATCAGAGGAAAGGCCTTGGCCCTACATTACAACAGCTAGCTCCTGCATTCCAGGCCATCACAAGTTGCCCAAACTCTATCTTCTAAAAGTCTCTCATCTCCTCCCCTCCCCCCCTTTTTTTTACTGCCACTTCTGTGGTTCAGGCCGCTGATTGCTTCTTAGAATGCTGCAGGGTTCTCCTAACCAACCTCTCTGCCTTTAGTGCCCCCTCTAGTCCATTTTGCTTACCACACTTCTAAAATGGTAACCTGATCATGCCACTTTTCTGTAAAATTACAGTTACGAGGAATTCTAAACCCCAACCTGTAGGTCTCAGCTTAGAAGACGCTTCTTTTAGGAAGCTCTCCCTGAACACTTACTGTAATGGGTTAGACACATTCCCCTCCCCCACGGCCATGTTCTCAAGGCATCCAGTGCTTCCCTGTCAGCACTTCCCACAGGTATTATAGTGCCGGAGTCCCCTTTGTAACCTCAGATTGTGAGCCCCGTTAGGACGGTGACTGTGTCTCTTACTGGCATATCATAGGAATTTAATGAGCATTTGTTGAATGACTGAATTAAGATTCCATTAGAACCCTTTTTTCTGCCACCAGTTTGTCAGTTACCATACCCCATATATAGGAGTCTGGAGTTTGCTACCCAGGAGGGAACAGGCACTCTCCTACATTGTAAAGTGGGAATTCAAATGGTATAACTGTAATGGAAGGGGAATTTGGCAGTGTGTAGCAAAATTAAAACCCTCTGATCTAGCTGCCACAATTATGATTCTATGAGTCTATCCCAAAGACATATAGGTACTTTTTTGTAGCACTGCTCGTAATAGCAAAAGACTGGAAACAGTCCCAAAGTCCACATACTCTTATGGGACTTTGAGTATTCTTACAGGACGTCTATCCAGTGGGGTGCTGTGCAGCCGCAAAAGCAGTGCAGAGACTCAATGACAATGCTGCAGATCCAACTAAGTGTATGTTGTCAAGTGAAAAGAGCAGGATGTGGAAGAGGGCACATAGTAGGCTACCTTTTAAGTAAGGGGAGGGGCAGGGATGGAAAATCTTATTTTATTGTTTTGATTTTAGAAGCATATAAGGGTTTATTAATTTTATTATTATTTATTTATTTAAAAAATATATCTTTATTGCTTTCAGAGAGAGGAAGGGCGAGAGAGAGAGAGAATCATTGATCGGCTGCCTCTGCATGCCCCCTACTGGGGATTGAGCCTGCAACCCCAGCATGTGCCCTGACCTGGAATCAAACCGTGACCTCCTGGTTCATGGGTCAGTGCTCAACC